GGAGGGGGGGGGGGGGGGGGGGAAATTGCCGCTGGGGAGGGATAGCTCAGTGGTTTGAGCATTGCCTTGCTAAACCCAGGGTTGTGAGTTCAATCCTTGAGGCGGCCATTTAGGGATCTGGGGCAAAAATCTTGGGATTGTTCCTGCTTTGAGCAGGGGGTTGGACTAGATGACCTTCCAACCCTGATATTCTGTGATTCTGAGGGTGGGATGCAGTGGTGGAGCAGATGTCTCCTGAGTTTGAACAGCTAGATACAAAGGCTGATAGAAGAGCTCAGTGCAGAGCTATGCAACTGAGGGAGGCCTTGAAAGATCACTGTAATGGCCAGCCACAGTAATGAGGTGTGGTGGACTGCGCTTTACCTGGCTCTGAAGTGTTGGGGGCTGTTATGAATTGTGTAATGGTGTAAATTTATCAATACACCTGAGTTATGCACTGCTTCGTATACATTTATACTTATTACACTGTGGGATAGGGTGTATTTTCCCCCTACTGGCCCTGAGAGGGTTGAATGGGGTGGGTGGGAGGAATCAAGCACTTCAGCAGCAACAAGGGGAGAGATTTAGGCGGTGAAGTGGCTGCTAAGTGGAAGCAGACTCTGCTGGGCAGGAACTGGAAGGGCCTGTGTAAAGCCCAGGAGCTGGGTGTAGCAGGAAGGTAGGCTCTAGTCAATCCCTGGGAGGAGGGAGGTATGTTCAGGACTCTAAGGTAGTCAGAGGTGAAAGTAAGCCGGTACGGACCGCTACAGCATACCAGCAAGAGCCGGTACGCCGTGCCAGACCAGACCGGCTTCCCCAGGCTGGCGCTTTAAAGGGCCCGGGGCTCCCTGCAGCGGCCTTAAGATGAAGGACTAAGAAGTGTGAGAATACTTACAAGGGGAGATAGATTCAATGTTTGTAATGGCTCAGCCATTCCTAGTCCTTATTCAATCCTGAGTTGATTGTGTCTAGTTTGCATATCAATTCCAGCTCAGCAGTCTCTCGTTGGAGTCTGTTTTTGAAGTTTTTCTGTTGTAAAATTGCCACCTGCAGGTCTGTCACTGAATGACCAGACAGGTTAAATTGTTCTCCCACTGTTTTTTGAGTATTCTGATTCCTGATGTCAGATTTGTGTCCATTAATTCTTTTGCGTAGAGACTGTCCGGTTTGGCCAATGTACATGGCAGAGGGGCATTGCTGGCACATGATGGCATATATCACATTGGTAGATGTGCAGGTGAACGAGCCCCTGATGGTATGGCTGATGTGAATAGGTCCTATGATGATGTCACTTGAATAGATATGTGGACAGAGTTGGCATTGGGCTTCATTACAAGGGAAGGTTCCTGGGTCAGTGGTTTTGTTCAGTGATGTGTGGTTGCTGGACTCCAGCGAGAGACTGCTGAGCTGGAATTGATATGCAAACTAGACACAATCAACTCAGGATTGAATAAGGACTGGGAATGGCTGAGCCATTACAAACATTGAATCTATCTCCCCTTGTAAGTATTCTCACACTTCTTAGCAAACTGTCTGTACTGGGCTATCTTGATTATCACTTCAAAAGTTTTTTTTCCTCTTACTTAATTGGCCTCTCAGAGTTGGTAAGACAACTCCCACCTGTTTATGCTCTCTGTATGTGTGTATATACATCTCCTCAATATTTATTCCACTCTATATGCATCCGAAGAAGTGGGCTGTAGTCCACAAAAACTTATGCTCTAATAAATTTGTTAGTCTCTAAGGTGCCACACATACTCCTGTTCTTTCTGTGGGAGGAAGGGAGCCTGCCAGGGCCACGCCCCACTCTGGACTCCGTCAGCCAAATCCACGCGTGATGCTACCGAGCGCTTTAAGGCACAAGCCACCGGCCTCCAATGCAGCTGGCAAGGAGCCACCCCGGGCCGTGTCGCCCTCCCTCTGCAGCAGGCCCAGGCGGGCTGCGACGGAGAGAGGGCGGCTGGGGTCGGAGGCTCGCTGGGGACGTCGCTGGAGATGTTCGGGGCTTTGGCTCCAAACAGTCCCCGTCGCTCCAGTGTGAACCGAGGGTTGGATCACGTGGGGGAATAAAGCACCCGCTGGGGACGCGGACAAGCGCGGCTCCACCCGCTGCCGGGGCGGGGATGGCCACAGGCTCCTCTGGGGCGGCAGAGGCGGGGCTGAGCCTGAGGCGTCGGTGTCGGGCCGCTGGCCCTTTAATGGCGCCTGCCCGCTGTGGCCACGTGGGTTGGGGCCGGGGCGGAGCTAAGGGGGGGCGTGTCTCCGCGAGCGGAAGCCGGAAGTAGCCGCAGGCCGCAGATTCGCTCGGCGCCTCAAAAAGCGGAGCTCGCGCCCCGTTTTCTGCTCCCCGCGACCATGGCGGGAGTGAAAGGTACCGAGCGGCGCCGCCCGAGGCCTGTCCCAGAGACCTTCACCCAGTCTCCTGGGGAGCTCCCGAGTGTCCCCAGCCTCGTCACCTCCCCCCATTGCCCCCCCGAGCCTCGTCACCTCCCCC